GAAGAGGAGGAGGAGGAAGAGGAGGAGGAGGAGGAGGCGGAGGAGGAGGAGGATATGGAACGGGAGGAGGATGAGGAAGTGGGTAATGACCGCCATAGCTGGTCCTTCAGCACGGGTTTGCGATGGGTTGCCTCTGCCCATGCCAGGAACCTGTGCCACATCTGTCGGAGGGTGGTCGTGCGTTCGTCTAGGATGGAGTCGGTATCCCGCGTCCTCCTCCAATTCTCATGCGCTCCGTCGCAGCTGTGTCCCATCCGTCGGCCGTGCTGGTGTCGTGGTGCCCTGTGGCGCCGTCAAAGATGTTTCTGGCATTGGTCGTGGTCGTCGTGTGTTCACTGCGTCTTCCACACTTCCATTGCCCTGAACTTGGGAGCTGCCTGGCTTTGCATGCCGTCTGAAGGGCGTCCGCCTAATCCCCCGTCCTCCTCGTCAGAGTCCCCCCCCTCCCTTCCGCCGCCTTTCCCTCGGCAGCAGTACACACAAGATGAGACCCCAGATCCCCCTTCCAGAGGACCGTCCTGGCAAGCTGTCCGAGCTCCGCCCAGCCGTGGCGACGTAACGACGAGGAGCCAGCATGTTGGAAGACGCGCCGAGTCTGGACTCGGGAAATAGAGAGCAATGGGAACAAACACACGCAGCACGCACAATCCATCAGATGACACAGGGCCCGACCGACGCGAACTTAAGCAATGATGAACCTCGTCGAGCGCGGGGGATGCGACACCGCCGAGGCGACCCGCGAGGTCCGACACGACCTCGGGCGATACAAGACGTCGAAGCCAAACAAATTGGAAAGTGGCGACGAAGGGGGGGGAGGTCGACGGGGGAGAAGGAGCTCGGCGCAGGCGCGGACAGTGCTCGCCGCGTTGTAGCAGATCGCGTTCGGCTCCACCCCGTCAGTGCGCATGCGCTCAAGCCAGGCCTCCAGCCACGCCCTCCTTGCCCGCCTCCTCCTCCTCCTCCTCGTGCTCCTTCTCCTGCTCCTCCTCCCTCGTCCTCCGTCCTCCTCCTCCACCCTTGACCTCCTCCCCCGTCCTCCTCCTCTCGTGACCTCCTCCCTCGTCCTCCTCCTCCCTTGACTTCCTCCCTCGTCCTCCTCCCTCGTCCTCCTCCCTCCTGCTCGTTCGCCTCCTCTTCCTCCTATGCCTCCCCGGCCTCCCCCATGTAGCCGCTAGCGGCTGTATCAGCTAGACGCTAGGAGAAGAAGGAGGAGGACGACAACAACGACGACGAGGACGAGGACGATGGGGGCGGCTCCCCATCGATGCCCGATACCTAAAACATGGGCCTTCACGAGAGGCTGACATATCAGCGTATCTTCCTCCTCCTCCTCCTCCTCTTCCTCCTCCTCCTCCTGCGCCTTCGCCTCCGCCTCCACCTCCACCTCCGCATCCTTCTCCTCCTCTGCCTGTTTCTCCTCCTCCCCCTTCTCCTCCTCCTCATACTCCTCCTCCTCCTCCTCCTCCTCCTCAACCTCTTCCGCCTCCTCCTCCTCCTCAACCTATTCCTCCTCCTTCTCCTCATCCTCCACATCATCCGCCCTCATCCGCCCTCCTCCTCCTCCTCCTCCTCCTCCTCATCATCATCAGAATCATCACCATCACCATCACCATCACCAGCATCGCCATCGTCAGCAGCCTCATCATCCGCAGCAGCAACATCATCAGTATTACCATCATCATCAGCAGCATCATCATCAGCGCCATCATCATCAGCATCATCGTCATCGTCAGCGCCAGCATCATCATACTCATCATCAGCATCGTCAGCATCATCAGCACCAGCATCAGCCTCAGCAGCAGCAGCATCACCATCAGCATCATCACCATCATCGTCAGCATCAGCAGCAGCATCATCATCAGCAGCAGCATCGTCATCAGCAGAAGCAGCATCATCATCCTTCTCTGCCTCCCATTCCTCCTCCTCCTGATCTTCCGACTCCTCCTCCTCATCATCATCGGCATAATCATCAGCAACATCAATATTGCAATCAGCCCCATCACTGTCATCGTCGGCATCATCAGCAGCAGCATCATCATCAGCATCACCAGCATCAGCACCAACACCATCAGCATCACCATCACCATCATCATCATCATCAGCATCAGCAGCAGCAGCAGAATCAGCATCATCACTATCATCAGCAACATCAGCATCAGCATCAGCATCATCATTATCATCATCATCACCATCACCATCACCATCATCATCATCATTATCATCATCAGCATCATCATCAGCATCATCATCATCACCATCACCATCATCATCATCATCATCAGCATCATCATCATGATCATCATCATCATCATCATCATCAGCATCATCATCATCATCATCATCATCATCATCATCATCATCATCATCATCATCATCATCATCAGGAGCAGTAGCCGCATCCTTCTTCTCCTCCCTGCTCCCCCCCCCACTCCTCCTCGTCCTCCTCCTCCTCCTCCTCCTCCTCCTCCTCCTCCTCCCCTCCCCTCCTCCTCCGTCCCCTCCTCCTCGTCCTCCTCCCCCTCCCCCTCCTCCTCCTCCTGCTCCTCCATCTCCTCCTCCTCCTCCTCCTCCTCCTCCTCCTCCGCCTACGCCTCCACCTCCGCCTCCTCCTCCTCCGCCTCCCCCTCCTCCCCCTTCTCGTTTTCCTTTTCCTCCTCCTCCTCCTCCTCCTCCTCCTCCTCCTGCGCCTCCTCCTCCTCCTCCTCCTCCTCCTCCTCCTCCTCCTCCTCCTCTGCCTTCTCCTCCTCGCACCGTCTGGCCAAGCTCATCATCCTCCGCCTCGCCCTTCTGCCGCACCCCTTCCCCCCGCAAGCCCACCCGCCCCCTGGCGCGCCGCCCTCGCTCTGCTCGTCCTCCGTGAGATAGACATGACGGAAAGAGAGAGGAGCAGGAGGACGAGGATAAGGATGAGGATGAGGACTAGGATGGGGATCAGGATGAGGATGAGCATGAGGATGATGATGAGTGTGAGGATGAGGTTGATGATGTTGATGTTGAAGATGCTGGTGTTGATGGTAATGATGATGACGATGATGATGACGGTGATGAATGAGAATACGATGATGATGATGATGATGCCGACGCTTCAACGCTAAAGCCTCGCGCTTTATGCCGCGCTACGCCCGACTAATGATGATGATGCTGATGATGTGATGAGGCTCCATTAGGATCCGATATGGTGATATGGTTGTTGCTGATTGTGATGCTTGTTGTGTTGTTGCTGATTGGGTTGTGCTTGCTGCTGTTTGCTGCTGGATGTTGATGTGATAAAATGATGGTTGATTGATGTGATGATGATGGTTGATGATGATGGTTTAATGTTGATGCGGTGGTGATACGGCTGAGAGGGTGATGATGATGATGATGATGATGATGATGATGATGATGATGATGATGATGATGATGATGATGATGATGATGATGATGCAAATGATGATGATTATGATGGCAATGCTGCTGCTGATGATGGTGATGATGATGATGGTGACGCTGATGATGATGATGATGATGATGATGATGATGATGATGATGATGATGATGATGATGATGATGATGATGATGACGAGGAGGATTTTTGTGCTCCTCCGTGGGACGCCGATCATGCCAGCTACGACGAGGAGGAGGAGGAGGAGGAGGAGGAGGAGGCGGAGCGGGGTAGAGAGGACAGACCAGCGAACCGCGCTTGTGACAGAGACAGGACACCCGTCGGCCGCCACGGGCTAGACGCTGGAGGCCTGCGCCCCGCTTCTCGGAGCACGCGATCGCAGCGGGCCCCCTCGGCACGCGCCAGTCCAATGGCGCCAAGATGGGCAGGGAGGAGGATGGGCCGCCGCCATCATGCAGCTGGCCACTCCGCCCTCCAAGGACGAGGGCGAGGAGGACGAGGGCGAGGAGGGCCACGACGAGGACGAGGAGGTGGACGACGACGACGACGACGACGACGACGACGATGACGACGACGACGACGACGACGAGGGCGAGGGACTGCAGGGACGGCAGCCGCCGCCACCGCAGCCGCGCGCGCGGCCTCTGCCGCTCCGGTGGCCTCGCCGAGGGCCGTGCCGGCGCCGCTTGCCTCGGCCCAGCTCCTGTCGCGGCAGCCGCCTCGGGGCCTCCACGAGTGCTGGCAGGGGCCGCTCCAACACAACCCGCCAGCAACTGCTCGCGGCAACTGCTCCCGGAGCGCCTCCATGGCCCACCGCATGGCCCACGCCACCTCCTGCCTGGGGAACAATAGTGCAGGGGCTGGGCCCCCACACCCCCCCGCCCGCGCGGCGACTGGCCGCATCAGGGCCCCACTCGGCCACGCCCCGCGCGGGGGGGGCGGAGCGCCGCGACCGGTCGCGGAACACAGCACCCCTGGAACGAGCATCATCCTGAGGGAAAGGACGTCGCCGTGCCCGACACCAGTGACCGCGCCAGGCCCAAGAGTATCCCCAACACCACCACCCACATGGACAGCACCAGGAACAGCATGGCCAGATGCAGGCTGAAGCAGGGGTGTCTCTCACTCATCCCCACTCTGGGCGGACTCCACGATCACCATCCAAAGGGACAACAACTTGCATGAACATACACTTCTGGAGGTCTGCGCTGGATCACCCTCCCTGGCGCGCGGAGCGCGCGAGGGGCGGCGCCGCAGGCGCCGCCGAGGGGACCCTGCGCAGATCCAAGAAAGCCGCGCGGAACTCCGACAATTTGTGTATGCCGCGTCTCTTCCTTCGACTGTCACCGCAGGGCGGATCGCCCGCAGGCCCAGTACAAACGGTCATAAATGTTTGCTCAGCGTGTCGCGACGGCCGCCCAGAGAGACGCTGTGCCCTGCGTGCGGATTGCATGTCGCTCCTCTCCGCGAGGCGGGACGCTGGGAACAGCTCGGGACGGTGACGCTTGGGAAAGGGGACGCGAACAGGGTGTCGCGCCGAAGCGTAGTGGGCCCAGACTGGCGGAGCGACACGCTAAGCTAGGGTTCCTGACCGTGCGCACGTCACATCAGCAGC